AAACCCCTTTTCTCCACACATTGAACTTCGATATCCCATCGAAAACCGAAAGAAAACCAAAGGCAAACTGTGAAGCAATCGAGGAACACGGAACCCCTCCCCAACGGAAATGGTTCCTTCTTCAGGGCCCCGACTGCGCAGGAGGCGTGTCCAAACATACGGTCAACCCGTACAGTCGGGGCGTTTACCTGAGGAACTCTAAATAAGGAGCGAAGCTTTTTTTCTCCATAAGTTGAACTTCGTTTCCCCATCGAAAACCTGAGGGCAACCTAAAGCAAACTGCGAACCAATTAAGGAACACGGAGCCCCTCCTCAACGAAAACGGTTCCTTGTTCAGCGCCCCGAGGATGCGAGATAAGGATGCAAGGACCTTGGACGCCCACCTCAAAGCTCTGCGGGCGTGGCGCGGCCGACGATACTAACCAAGGGCGCAAGGATGCAAGGGGTACCCTTGAGAAGGTTGCCCATCCTTACCATGCGGGTTGACTGTCGTCCAACAGATTCTCTGTAGGGACGATTACGCGAACGTGTTTTTTTTGATTCGGCGTTTCGACATTGGGCGGCAATGGGGGTTAGTGCGACTGTTTGCAGCATTGCGACCATTATGGGGGAGGCTCCACCTGCTCGAAACAGGCGCCAAATTAACCCGACGAAGGACCCAACCATATGCAGGTGTGGGTGCCGCAATTGTGATTCACTTTTTCGGTGGTAATCCCTATGAGGCAGCGAACCGTGCTAGTGGTGTGCCGACATGAGTGGTTTGGTACAAGACGCGAGCGAAAACGATTGATCAGAGTAAGTGGGGAAACTGAGCGCGGGTGAATCACAGCGCGAGCGCGTCTGACTGTGAATGAATCTGCGTGCGAGCGAGTCTACGTGCATGAATGCGAATATGACAAAGCATGGTACACTTGTATATGAATGTCAATAGTTTGAGAATGACTGCCTCTGAGTACTCGTGACGGTGGGCGTGGCCGCCGCAAGGAGCTTCCCCGGGACTCCCCGACGGCATCGCCCGCGCGCCGCGACGCCAATGTCGGCGCGCCCCCCCGCGAGGATCGCGCCCGCTTCCCTCCCCTTCTTTTAGTCCCTCTTTGCCTGCGCATTCAAAAGTCCAAGGCTGTGGGCGCAGCGCAGCGCGGAGTCCCCGCGACACGCGCAGGTCGCCCCGGAGGGGTCCCAGCGACGCGCGCGGGTCGTCCGCAGCGCGGAGCAAAGAGAGCTATATATAGCTGACTGGCTGATAGCGGGCAAGGCTCTTGCCGCTGGGCAGAGCGACGACGGGCGAGCGAGGCGCGGAACTCCGACGGCCTCCGACGGAGGTGTACTGGGTGGGGGAGACGCATGCGGACTGCGCCACGGGGACCTTCGGTGGGGCTCCTTCTGGGGCCACGAAGCGCTGTACTGGGCGGGGGAAACGCATGCGGACTGCGCCACGGGGACCTTCGGTGGAGCCCCTATGGGGCCACGAAGCGCTGTACTGGGTGGGAGAGACGCATGCGGACTGCGCCACGGGGACCTTCGGCGGGGCTCCATATGGGGCCACGAAACGCTGTACTGGGTGGGGGAGACGCATGCGGACTGCGCCACGGGGACCTTCGGTGGGGCTCCATATGGGGCCATGAACCGCTGTACTGGGAGGGGGAAACGCATACGGACTGCGCCACGGGGACCTTCGGTGGGGTTCCATATGGAGCCACGAAACGCTGTACTGATGCGGACTGCGCCACGGGGACCTTCGGCGGAGCCCCTATGGGGCCACGAAGCGCTGTACTGGGCGGGGAAGACGCATGCGGACTGCGCCACGGGGACCTTCGGTGGGGCTCCCTATGGGGCCACGAAGCGCTGTACTGGGTGGGGCAGACGCACGCGGACTGCGCCACAGGGACCTTCGGCGGAGCCCCATATGGGGCCACGAAACGTTGTACTGGGTGGGGGAAACGCATGCGGACTGCGCCACGGGGACCTTCGGCGGAGCCCCTATGGGGCCACGAAGCGCTGTATTGGGTGGGGGAGACGCATGCGGACTGCGCCACGGGGACCTTCGGCGGGGCTCCATATGGGGCCACGAAGCGCTGTACTGGGTGGGGGAGACGCATGCGGACTGCGCCACGGGACCTTCGGTGGGGCCCCATGTGGGGCCACGAAACGCTGTACTGGGTGGGGCAGACGCAAGCGGACTGCGCCACGGGGACCTTCGGCGGAGCCCCTATGGGGCCACGAAGCGCTGTACGGGGTGGGGGAGACGCATATGATACACACCACTGGGGCCTTAGAGGGACCTCCCTATGGGGCCACGAAACGCTGTACTGGGTAGGGCAAACGCATGTGATACACACCACTTGGGCATTAGGTGGACCTCCGTATGGGGCCACGAAGCGCTCTACTGGGTAGGGGAGACGCATCTGATACACACCACTGGGGCCTTAGGTGGACCTCCCTAAGGGGCCAGGAAACGTTGTACTGGGTGGGGGAGACGCATGTGATACACACCGCTGGGGCCTTAGGTGGACCTCCCTATGGGGCCACGAATCGCTGTACTGGGTAAGGGAGACGCATGTGGGGGAGAAGCGTGACAGGAGGAGAGGAGGGAGGAGGAGGAGGAGGAGGAGGAGGAGGAGACCCGGGGACCGTCTCTTCAAAGCGAGGACCCAACAACACAGGTTGTTTGGGAAAAACAGCCAAGATCTACTCCATGGGGGGGAAGGGGGGTTTAGGGGCCCACGCCGATCGGCAAAACAACGAATAACAACAACGATTACTTTTCCGTGCTTTTGGTTTTGGGTTATGTTCGGACAATGTCTAGACCCATTGTATCATTCTTCCAAAATCCGCTTGTAGGAGGACATGCCCGACCCAAGGCCAGCAGCAGGCGCCCGCAGCTCTTCGGCACGGACCCTCGCTCAGTCCGCCCAGTTGGCCGATCGCGTCTTCTCCTGGGAGTGCTCCGGCTTCTGCCCCTTCGGCGTCCAGTTGGCCGCTCGCGTCCTCTCCTGCGGGCTGAGCGTGGAGGCACGACGTTGGAGGAGGAGGAGGAGGAGGAGGAGGAGGAGGAGGAGGAGGAGGGGGGAGGAGGAGGAGCAGGAGGAGGAGGAGGAGGAGGAGGAGGAGAGGTCCCGCCCCCACTGCTGGTCGTGTCTGGTTCCTGTTCCGGCACCCCGAGGCCTCTGGGGACGTCTTTGGACGTTCTAAGACCTCCGCGGAAGCCCCACGAGACTTGAAGGAGGAGGCAGAAGGGGGAGGAGGGTGAGAACGAGGAGGAGATCCCATATCTTTGGGAGCCTCCGAGGGGGGGGGGTGTTCGTCGCCAAGGCTGGATTCGCCTCGAGATCCTGGTCAGAATGCACCCCTGGGGGGTCGATCTCGAAGGAGGGCCCAACGACTTCAAGGCATCACTTGTTCGACAGGACTTGTTCGGCAATCCCGGCCCACGTGGGCCTTTTCCTGACCCAGGCCGCAACATCAGCACAGCGAGAAGCAGTACCTGGAACCCGAGTCATGAGACGAATGGAGAGGAGGGAGGGAGGGAGGGAGGGAGGTGGAGAAGGAGGGAGGGGAAGCATGGCGGGGTGAAAGAGGAGGCGAGGCACGAGGGAGGAGACAGCGGCGGGAGGAGGAGAAGGAGGTGTGGTCTGCTTGACCTATCCTTTCTTGCTGCATTGAGGGCATTGAACGCCGGCGCTGACGACGCCGACACCCACGCAGCCGACGCCGACGCAGCCTACGCCGCCCATGGCGACGAAGCATATGGCCGACACAGGGACCTCTCTCGGAGCTCATTCTGACCAAGAGTTTGAGACGCATCAAGCTGTGCCCAAGAGGGATGCCGAGGAGGTCGAGCAAGGCCCCCCAGAAGCCAACCTACCACGATCATCGAACCCCGATCCCCGAAACTCGACGCCGTCGACGACGACAACAACGACAACGACGACGACGACGAAGACGACGACGACGATGGTGGCGGCGGCGGCGGTGGCGACGACGACGACGGCGAGGATGACGAAGAGGAGGTGGAAAATAAACGTAGCCTGAGGCGCGCCAACCGAGCTGGACAGAGGCCAGCGCACCGACTTCACGGGAGGAGGGGCCTCGCCACGATCGATCAGTGGACCGCGGGGAAAGAAGGCAAGACCGAATATGTCACTGAACCGACCTTGCAGACGTGCTGCAGCGGATTTTTGCGTGGATTTCTGCCAATGCAAAACCCAGAAACGGCGAGAGAAAAACGAAGTGAATGTGGCGTGATTTGTTGCGTAGCCTCCTGGCCTTTAAAAATCCGCACGAAAATCACCTCGAAATCCGGAACGAAATTCTCCAGGACGATCCGAGCCCATCCTATCGTTTTCCGAACAAAGTCCGCTCTGCGATGTTGGCGCCATGAGATGTGAAGAAACAGCGTGCCAATGCTCAACGGTCAAAGTTGGGAACACGGACTCGCCGCGAAAAAATCTGACATGAACGCCCAGCCCGTGAAAGGCCCTTCCCAACCACACCTATGCTTGTGAAGGCACCAGGGGGCTCGACTTGTCCGCACCACGGGGCGTAAGATGTTTCAAGTTCTTCTGTGACCTCTGCCTGCTCAAGGCTCAAGCTGTGAAGCCGCAAACACAAGATTGACATACAAAACTCTCCAAAACAACTTCCAAACACACCATCTCTCCACCCACCCGATCAAAATGTGCCCTCCCCCACCACTCATCACCTGCTTGCGGGTGCACAGGGGGACACGACTTGTCCGACCCACGGGGCGCAACAAACTAGAACCAGAGCGCGCGGCAGCGTGCAATTGCGGATGGGCCGGCATGCCCCGAGCTTACGATAGCGTATGAGCTGGCACGCCCAACGCATGCGAGAGCGGATGGGCCGGCACGCCCGAACAGAAGCAGGCGTTTCTGATCAAGACCCCATCATTCTGCGCCCGCCCCACATCAGCCCACCGACGCTTTGGCGTGCTGCTACCAAGCATCTGTGGGCAAAGGCGTAAGAGCCTCGGGTGAATTGTTTGCAACTCCAGGGCGGAGAGCCCAGCTAGACATTCACAGAGAACTCGTGGAATGTGCTGAGCATCCTGCGGATGACCGCTGGGCGCGCAGCGTCTAGGAAGGCAGGTGCCTGCTCGGAAGCTACTCGATCCCCACTTGAAAAACAAGCGAGGGCTCCGGAAGGTGGGGGGGGGGACGGCGGTATCGAATGCTAGGTCGGGCATGTCCTCCTACAAGGGGGTTGTGGACGAAAATAAAAAATAGTAAAGAAAAACGGTTTAAAGCATCAAATCTACTAAACAAAAATCGTCCCCATACTATGTTTTACTATTCTTGAACATCCCACCTGTAGAGGGACACGCCCGACGAAAATCTAATGCGCGAGAAGGGGGCACTGCCAATACAATAGGAGCTCGACCACAAAGAAACCTTCCGCAAAACACGCAACCTGGAGACCCCAGGATGTCCATTGCTGTTTGGTGTGGGAGTGTGGGGACGTGACGCTTCCCATCGCAGAACCATCGAAACCTAAGAATTACACCAAATAAAAACGCCAATTAGAGGATGGTTTGCGCTGACGAGATCGACCGGGAACCCGGGAGCCCGGGAATCCCAAACCCACCGACATCGGCCCGGAACCAATAACCGGGAACCTGGGAACCCGGAACCCGGGAACCCAACCTGCTACCAACATTGGCGGGAAACTTTCACCAAATCTTTCAACTTCCGCTAATTAGGACCCCTTCAGTGCGAGCACTGATTGGGGAAAAACGAGGGCACCCTGGAGGCAAGAAGGGTGCCTCTTGGCATGGGTTCCACTGCGGTGGCGCATCGAGTCCCGTGCCGAGCCACCGAAGTGGCAGGGGCGAGGCTCCAGGACGGGTTCTCTGTGGGACGCGGTCCAGCCCGCGCGAAGCGTCTCCACCACGATCCACTGATGGGCCAGGGACATCTTAGCGATCTCACGTCGCAGAGCTAACCAGCCTCGAACGTATCCCTATCCCTAAGATGGGCGAGCAAAAAGCGAGGACAATTTTAGGGATAGGCCCTCAGAAACTGGGGGAATCCTTCAGATCGGCATCGAGGTGAGGTGATGTCAAACATAGGGATAGGGATATGTTTCAAACTGGTAATGATTGATCGAACCAGGCCTCCGAAAAACACAAAGGGGAGACGTAAGACTCAGGTTCGGGAGACTCAGGTTGGCCTGACGGGGCCGTCAGGAAAATGACGAAACCCAACCTGAAATATGGCGCGAGCCCCAGCTGCAAACGTCCCACGTAAACTGACCGTCAAGATCCAGGACGGGCCCGTCAAAAAGAGTCGGCGATCGCCGAGCTCCGACGCAATCGGATCTAACAGGGGAGATGTCGACACCCATCCCAGGCTTCCTGGGGTGTCAAAATGGACTAGAAATTTGTGCCCAACCCTGAGATGCACGATTGGGGGGGCGTCCATCCATCCTCGATAGGGGTGCGTCCGAATAGCCCCCTCGGGGTGTATCCCAGGCTCTCCCTCCTTCTCTGAGCGGCTTCATTCGTCGTCGAATAATCGGGGGTTTGGGGAGAAAACCGCCTGCGAGAACCTAGAGGCCTCCTAGATGAAGTCGGAGTAGATGGGGTCGGAGGATCACGCCGCATCGCCGATACATCGGCGATGCATCGGCGATGCATCGGTGATGCACCGGCGATGCATCGGCGACGTCGACATGAATCACATCGGGCTCCACATCGAGCCGCATCGCCGCTGCATCAGCGGTGCGGCGCGCTCCTCCGACCCCATCTCCTCCGACCCCGTCTTGGATTAGGTCGGGCATGTCCCCCTGCAGGCCGATTTTGGACGAAAAATAACAATTGTCAAACATAGTAGAAACATCGTGCCCTGACTATTTTGTGACTGTCTGTGACTACTCCTCCTGCAGAGGGACCCGCCCGACTCCAGTCCAGGAGGCCTACAGAGAGACTCTCGCCTCACCCGAGCAGGGGACGACGACGACGCACGCCACCGACGACGACGGCGCGGCGGGCGCGGACGCGGCGGCGGCGGCCCCAACGGCGGCCCGAGCGGCGGGGGGGCCCGGCGCCCGGCATCCTGGGCCCGCGCCCGCGACTCGATGCGTGCCAGCGTGGTCTCGGCCGGGGGGGGCGGGGGCGGGGGGGCGCCGCAGGGGCGCCCGGGGTGAGGCGCCCCCGCCTCCTGCCGCGCCGCGCCGTGCGCCCGTGCTCCGCCCCCTCGCGCCTCCCCCTCCCTCCCTCGCTCGCCCCCGCCCTGCCCCCTTCGAGGAGCGCTCCTCCGCCGCTCCCCGCCGCCGCCCCCCCCCCCCGCCCCCCCACGCCGCACCTCCTCGCCTGTCCCCCTCTCGCCCCGCCAAAATGCCTCCTCTCCTGTCCCCGTCCGACGGTCGCTCCCGCCTCCCGACTCCCCCTTCCTCCCCGTCCTGTCCTCCCCTCCTATCCCGTACCACCCTCTGCCTCCCGCTCACAGCGCACGCAGGGAAGGCGAGGAGGGGTGAGAGAAGAAGGGTGAGGCGGAGGGCACGGGAAAGACTCTCGCGTGAGTGCATGCGAGCAGGCGCGCGGTGAGGGCGGGTGCTGGCTGGTGTGCAGAAACGCAACAATATCACATCAGGAGCGTAAGATCGCAGTCAGGCTGCGACCGTCCTCGGCTGAATTGCTGCGAGCTCGCTTCGAGTTTGAGATGAACATGTCGAGGCAAGCCACCAAGCAGCGCAAACTCACCGTCACGGACCAGGTGTGCGCAAGCGACGTAGCAGAATACGTTGCTTCGCGCGGAGAGGGCGGATGGAGAAGGAGGGAGACGGGACACTCATGAAGGGATGGGGAGGGGAGGGGGGAAGGAATGGGGTGTAAAGATGATCGAGGAGGAGGAGGAGGAGGAGGAGGAGGAGGAGGAGGAGGAGGAGGAGAAGGAGGACGACTAGGAGGAGGAGAGGCTTTCCAGGATGAGAAGGAATTGCCTCCCTCCTGACCCCCCCCCGCCGCCGTGGGACCGAGGGGACCTCTGAGGCCTCGATCCCTCGGGTGGGCCCCCCCTGGCCGTCCTCAAGCTCGCGGGCCAGGTCGGCCTCCACGAACTGGCAGGGGTGCCGGAACACGCCCCTGCCCGCGGGGCAGGTGAAGTACCTCGGAGGCGGCTTCGGAGGCGCTTCGTCGTCTCCTCCTCCTCCTCCTCCTCCTCCTCCTCCTCCTCCTCCTCCTCCCCTTCCTCCCCTACCTCCTCTCCTCCTCCTCTCCTCCCTCCTCCTCCTCCTCCTCCTCCTGCGCCTCCTCCTCCTCCCTCCTTCCTCCTCTTCCCTCCTCCTCCTCCTTCCTCCTCCTCCTCCTCCTCCTCCTGGGTCGGGGAGCTGGCAGGTGTGCAGGGGGGTAGCGTTAGGTCGGGCGGGCCTCGACAGGGGCGGATCCTGGACGTAAAATGAAACATAGTCCAAAAGTACTCAAAGATAGTGAACAAAATCATCCCCCGATACATGTTCTGACAATTTCTGGACATTCCTCCTGTAGAGGGACACGCCCGACTTACGGGTAGGGGTGGGGGTCATGGGTCATGGTGGGGACGTGGCCCGCTCGTGGTCGGGCCCACGGACGGGACGACGTAGGACACGAAGGACGACCGGAGGGACAAGAGGGAGGAACGAAGAGAGAGGGCGGAAACGAGGAGGAGGAGGAGGAGGAGGAGGAGGGACACGAGAGGGGGGCACGAACAGCTGGGGGGGGGGACGAACGGCAAGGAGGGGGGCAGCAAGAGGAAGCACGGCACGAGAGGGGCCCGCAGAGGGAGGGCGGGCCGAGGGACAACACGAGCGAGGCGGGACGGGAGGCACGCTCCGGCGGAGGCCACCGGCCGCGCGGCGACGCCCTGCAGGGCAGACTACCCCCCGGCCATCGCTCGGACGTCCATTCCCTGTTTTTATTTGGGGGGGGGTCGTGCGTGTTTTTTTCGCCAAATGATCAAGGATGCTCCTCGATGGTCCTCGCCGAAGGGAAAATGCACACGTCCGAGCGATGCCAAGACCCCATGGGGGGGGAGGGAGCGGCGGGCGGGGGGGTGCGCAGGACGAGGGGAACCGAACGGGGCGGTGCCATTTGGTGGTCCACCGAGGGGGGTCCAGGCTCGTGGAAGGGGAACATGGGCGGACCTGCAGACAGGACCGCGCCGTATAAAGGAGTCGGGAAGGGAAGTTCTTGGCCACTGGCGGCCTCGGGGGGGCCCTCGCCGGGCCTCGGGGCCGTCAGCAAAACGGCTCGGGGTGGGACATCGGGGCGGGGGAACGGGTCGGGACTCCCAGGGACCCCGTCCTGAAAATATCAGGACGTCGCATGTCTGGGGACGGAGGGGCCAGCCATCGCTGATCCTACCTCGAGCGCCTGGAGCTCAGTGGGCCCTGGAAGCAGCAGGGCCGTCTTTCTTTCACCGGTTCTATGTTTTGCCGTTACTGTTGCTGGTCCCGGCGCCGTTTCCAAAACCCTTGTTCGGAAACGGTGAAGAAGCGGCCCTTGCCGCTATTTGCTGGGCCCGTTTTCCACCACCACCACCACCACCACCACCACCACCACCACCACCACCACCACCACCAAAATATAAGTTGGAGGGGGAGGGGGTCCTCCTCCTCCTCCTCCTCCTCCTCCTCCTCCTCCTCCTCTTCGTCCTCCTCCTCCTCGTCATCCTCCTCCTTTCCCCCCTCCAACTCATGGTGGTGGTGGTGGTGGTGGAAAACAGGCCCACAAGCTATTGGGGCCCACCATGGCCTGGAGGTGCGGAAGGGGGTCCTTCTGGTGGTGGGGCGGCGGCAGGCCCGCTCTGACGAAGAGGAGAGTGCAAAAGCAGTTGCCGAATGAGCGGCTGTTCTCAGCGCCCGGCTCCCGCCCAGCCTCGGAGGGGCGGCGGAGGGCGGAGGTGTGGGCTGCGTGATGGCTCGGGTTGGCAGGTCACTGGCGGTGCACGGAGAGAATGGGCACAGTGCCCAACAGCAAATGTTGTCCCGAACCAGCAGCGGCCGCTGTTGGGCAGGCGGCCTTCTGTCTCAAATGGACACAGGCCGCGGCGGCGCGGACAGCGAGTCCTGTTCCAAATGAACAGGAACTGCTGTTGGGCATTGTATCCATTCTTTCCGTACCCATGTCGGTCGTCCTGGTCGTGGATACCCTCGCTGACCCTGCGTCTGCCGCGGGGCGGCGTGCCTTGGCCTGGAGGGTGCGACGGCCCGCGGTCCTCCCGCGGCAGATGGCGCAGCGCACGAGATCCAGCACGACGCGGCGGTACTAGTCCAGGTCCTCGGTCTCCGTGGAGGGGCGCAAGCTCACGATGGTGCCGGCGATGCTGGCGATGTGCGCGTCGGGCTCGATCATGCGGTTTGGGTCAACGCCCTGTGCCCAGCGTGGAAGCAGCTGGTGTGTGGCGTCGTCGCTGGCTCGTTCGCCCCAGGCCCAGTAGCCGGCGGGTGTCCAGGCTCTCGGGTTAGGTGGCGGCTCGATCCATGTGATGCGGATGCTCTCCCCCCTTGATGGTGAGACAGCTGTTGTTGAAACTGCCTCCCGGTAGACAATCCTGGAGGGTAGCGCGGGCCTGGCTTACGTCGCCGCCAAGGTGGTCCAGCGCGCTGCTGATGAACGTGGTGACGGTGAAGGTGAACGTTTCTCATGCGGCGTTTCGACACTGGGCGGGGGGAGGGGGGCGGAGGGGGTCTGGCTCCAGACCTCTGCTTAGTGCGACTGTTTAGCACCGTGCGTCCTATGGGGGAGACTCCACCGGCTCGAACCAGGCGCCGAAAACAGCCAAGGCCCACTCCACGGGGGAGGGAGGCGGGGGGTGCAAGGGCCCGCGCCGATCGGCAAAACAATTCATAACAAACACGCTCACAAGCAGCCCTCTTCCTCAATTTCCTTGCCATCGCTCGGACGTCCATTTCCCGTGCATTTTTCGGTTTCGTGCGTGTTTTTGTTGGCTCGATGGTCCAGGATCCAGGATGGTCCTCGGTGGCTCTCGCCGAGAAAAAATGCACACGTCCGAGCGGTGCCAGGGTTTCTGGCTGCGCGTCCCGGGTGGCGCGGCAGCTGCTGTCGCTGCTGCCGCTGCTTGCCGCAATGCCTGCGGGTGGGCGGGTCGGGTCGGGGCCTCGGCCTCTGGAAGCTGGCGCGCGCGGGCGGCGACTCCTCTCTTCGGCTGCGGCGGCTGCAGGCGGGCCGCATGTGGCGGCGGCGGCGGCGCCGTGACCAGAGTCGTGCGCTGTGGCAGCCTGTGGCGGCTCTCTGCTCGGCGTCGCCGCGGGCGCGGGGGCTCCTCCTCGGGGTGGCGATGGGCGGCGCCCTGTGCCTCGGCGTGGCGAAGGCGATGTTCCTGCGAATGTCCGAGCGTTGTTGCACCTGTCTGGCATGGTACCATGCGGATCCTGTCGTGTGGGGCGATGTCGGTTGCCCCGTTGGCCTTCTCGGGCGGAGGTCCAGGCGATAGTGGAGGCTTGGGCTCGTCAGCCTCGACCTTGGATGGGGGACCACCCTACTGATGACGAGGTCGCCTGTGGTGCCTGGAGGTCTCCTCGTCATCGTCGGTCAGGTGCCCCTCCCAAGGTGATCGGAGCTTCCAGCCCTCTGGGCACTCCCACGCTGTCTCGCGCGCCTGTGGGCGTCTGGCAGCAAGCCCGTGCGGCATCGTCGTGGGGGCGAGCCCTCCCTGTGCGCGGCGGGCCCCTGGCGCGTGACGGCAGCGCAGGCGGCCCTGCATGTCCAGGTTGGGGCGGCTTCACCTCCGGCGCAGTGGGCGCGTAGCTCACGGGGGCTGGGCGGGCGGGCGGGCTGCATGCTGGGCGCCATGCCGAGAGGCTGCGGGGCGGCCATTTTGGTGCGCCGCCCATCGCGGCGCGGCCGCGGGGGCGGGCGTTGCGGTAGGTGAGGTGGCGGTGCCCCCCCGCCTGCCGGCAACGGGGGGATGCCTGGGCCCTCCTCTCCTCGGGCCGAAGGGAGGTGGGCGGCTTCCGCTCGGCAGGGTCGATGGATCTGTGACGTGCGCTGTAAAACCCAGGCATCCGTCTGAGGCCCGCGAGGTTGAGCTGCTCGTCGTACTCGACGTCATGGCTGCGATCGTATGACTGGCGCAACTCGTCTAGTTGCTTGTCCACCTCGATCCCGTGCTTTTCGGTGAAGCTGTTGTAAGTGGTCATCGTGGTACCGACGAGGTTTCCGACTATCCTCACCTTGGCAGGCGGCTGCCACGGTGCTGCGTCCTTCGTAGATCTCGCGATGTGAGCGGGCTCCGTGGAAGGTACATGAGCTCCCTCCCTATGTGTCGTGCCATTGATCGTCCAGGTCGTGCTGATGTTGCCGACGTCTTCTATTGTGTCGGTTGCCAAGTCCCTGAGCTCTGAAACGGGTCCTGTGTGTTGCAGTTCTGCGGGCTCTGCTAGCCACGTTGGCAGGTTGCCTGCTCTGGCCCCGTAATATGTAGGATGCACTGTAGCGGTCGAAGTTGTTGATATCATCGTGGCTGCAGTGGATGAGCGGTACCTGGTCCCCCTTTGGATCGGCTTGGAGCGTGTGAACACCTCCGTTTGTCTGCGGCGTGGTGTGATGGATGTCCTTGGAGATTATGCAGACTTCAATGCTTCTTTCTCCTCCTCCTCCTCCTCCTCCTTCTGCTCCTCCTCCTCTTCCTCCTCTCTCCTTCCCCGTCCGCATCTCTCCTCCTCTCTCATTCCCCCTCCTCCCTCCTCCTACTCACATTCTGCCGTTGCCTCGCCCAAATCCTTCTTGCGTTCCCCTGGGGAACAATACGGAGCCGAAACGTATGTAATTACCGGTCGGAAGTCCGCGCGGAACTCGTCGATCGAAGCTGGATTTCTCTGCTCGACACCCTGGGTTATTGGCGCGAGAAGCGCGCTGGCGGCAGGGTATGCGGTGCCGCCAAGGGGTCTGGAGATGAGGGCCCAGCGCCGACCCACTAACTCCACGCGGACATCCGAAAGCGCATGTGTCTGCTGTTGTCTGGCATTCGATTCGTAAGCCCTCCCACCTTCTACTTCATCTCACGTGCTCTCCCTCATCTCCTCCTGCTCATCCTCCCGCTCCCCTGGGGAAACAACACGGCACCGATACCGCTGCTCCCCAGATCTCTCCTGGGGTCCGCTCGTACCAACAGGTCGAGGAACACCCAGCCATGGTGACGAGGGCTCTCCAGGACGAGCAGCGGCATCGGCACCTCCTTCTCCCCTGATCCTCCCCCTCCGTCTGCCCCCTCCTCCTTCTGCCCCCCTGCTTTCCGATCGGCCCAGGCACCTGTGGCCCAGGACCGACCCGTCGTTCTCGCCCTCCCCCGAGAGCAGCTCGACGCCCACCCACTCGCCTCGACAGCGCGCCAGGGGGGGGAACGGAGGCAGGGTGAGCGGGGAGAGGGGGGGGGGGGGGGAAGCGCTCTCCGAGGAGGCAGAGATGCCCCCCGGAGGTCCTGCGTGGGCACAGCTGGGCAATCAGGCGGAGGGGTAACAGTAGGTCCGGCGTGTCCTCCTACAGGCGGATTCTGGACAACAAAAAATCAACAACTATTCAAACACTGCAAAGAAATAATCGGAACATTGTCCCCAGACTATTTCTGTGACTATTTCTGAGTATCCCTCCTGTAGAGGGACAGGCCCGACTTAATGGTAAAAGCTGGATGCCGGATGATGGGCCGATGCTTCCATATCACGCCAGATACTCCGCCAGTTCGAGCAGGGCACAGCCAGACCGATCCTGGTTGCAACGGTATGAGCCAGCACATGCCAGGGCCAAGGACTCACTCGACCACCAGGCGCTGCACATTTTTGCGACCCGGGCCAGAGAGTTCCAAAAAGACAAGCTTCGTGCGGGCGCGGCCGCAAGACACCCTCGCGAGAAACCCGACCCTGAAAACCCGTGCGCGAGGTGCACCTGAGGGGAATGCTGGAGCACCCAGAACGCAGCAGCTTCTTCAGCGGCTGCGGAAGTCACCGCGCAGCGCGCGGAGCGAAGAAGAAACCCAGGACACTCAGACGAGAGGCATATGATTTCTTGATGCGCGCCCCCACTGTAGAACGCAGAGAGGCTGACCTCAGAAGGCCCCCCCCACCCTGAGCACAGCGCGTGGCTGAGACCCCCCCCCGCCCGGGGGGGCCGTCCCTGCCAGTGTCAGGTCGGGCACGTCCTCCTACAGGCGGATTGTAGACGTTCTTATTGTACTCCTTATATACATATATATATATGTTCCAAGAGAGCACGACAAATCGTCCCCAGACTGATGATCGACCATTCTTGAATTTCATTCCTCCTGCAGAGGGCCCTGCCCGACGGAAGGCCAATGGCTCGAGCAGCGCCCAGCCGTGGCCGGAGGGTCCTCCGCCGGGGGGGGGGGCACCAGAGGTGCGCAACAAGACGCTGCCGAGAGCGAGGAGACTGAACCCTGGCTCGCACTCGACAGTCGGCCCCTTGTTACCGCCTGGCCCTGGGCGGTCTTCTCGCCGGTCGTCGGCGGTCGTGTGCGGTCTTCGGCGGCCTTCAGGCGGCCTTTGGCGGTCTTCGGTGGTCTCCTGCGGTCTTCCGACGGTCTTCTGACGCTCTTCGGCCGTTTCGACGGGGGTCTTCCGGCGGCCTGCGGCTTGAAGGCAGGGCGCCTGCGGTAAACGAGGGGTCCATGACCGAACACCGAAGCTCGGCTACCCTTTTTGACGACCTACCAGACCACCCCAACCCAACCTGAAGACCCGAATCTCGGGTTGGGGGGGGTACGGGTTCCATCTGTGTTTTTTCCATGTTCCCCGACCCCCCCCCACACTGGAAATGGACGGCAAACTGAGGCCTTCGGGCTGGGCTGAGGTGGCTTGGTGGGTGGTGATTCTTTGCCAGCGGCGACGTGGGTCCAAGATGCGGTCGAGAAAGCCGAGGGGCCCAGCTGCGCCCAACTTTGGGCACAGGGCGCAAATGCTGGCGGTGGACAAATCTCCCTTTCGTAAACCTCCCCTTGGTGAAAACGGCCCAGGACCGAAACCGACGGACCC